GAGTTATTCATCTAGAAAACGAACAGTTTAAAATCGTTTTGTGTCAGCCCCACAATGTCTTCCCAACTGAGCAATAGTGAGAGGAAAATGATCATTCAGGCCTTCAGTAAAAGTACCAACATTCATACTCTGGCTTCCATCTTTAAAGTCCATTCAAGAACCAACAAGAGGAACAGTAAAAAGAGGGAACAGTAGAGAGGAAAACTGGATCAGGAGGCCACACTAGCAAGAGGGATCATCATTTCAACTTAGAGCTAAATACATTCTTATTGTTCAGAGTAGTGTTATAAAAACCTCGGAGAATTCCAGTAAGATATTTTTAATCATTTCTGTGATATAACAGTTCAAAGCTTAATCTAACAATCGGACACTTTTTTGCTGTTACGCGATTGGGATTTTAGGATATATATATGGTATATATATATATATATATATATATATATATATATATGAATAAGAGAGAGAGAGAGAGAGAGAGAAAAAGAGATAATATTATTGGTTAATATATATATATATATATATATATATATATATATAAATTCCCAAGAGGATAGAATCCAGGTAGAACTCAATGTCCAGGACAGAGCAAGAATTTTATAAATGAGTTTAACATTAAATTTATATATTGTTATATATGGATGATGATATATATGGAATGTAATCCCAGTAATTCAATTCAAAATATTCTGAGACAAATTCAAAAAACAAATAAAAATATTTTATTTTTTCTTTTTTTTTTTGGTAGTTTTGATGATTTAGACATGATTACGTTTCTAATAAATAAATTATAACTATGGAATATTAGTGTTATATTTTTTATATATATATATATATATATATATATATATATATATATATGGGGAAAATGCCATACTAAAAATAGTTTTATTGTGACGCGTTTCATCATTTATCTTTACATCGGACTAAGTTTGTTATGTTGGTTCGATTAATGGCATCGCACGAATGCGGAAATGATGGGAATTACATTTTTTTTCCTTTTTTTTTTTTCCAAGAAATTTTGTTAGTCGTTAACCACACTGTGATAAGAAAGTTCTGCTAGGAAGGGTAAAATGTTTATTAAGAGTTGGGAACAAATTACTTTGTAGATGACCTTGTGATCACTTTAAAACTGACTAGACTTTTTTTGCCGTAGTGAATTGTTTTCGCCTTTATCTAAGATTCTCAGCACACACAAACACACACACGCAAACACACACACACACACAAACACACACACACACACACACACACACACACACACACGGATTATATATATATATATATATATATATATATAAATCTGTCTTGGAATTTCCTCTTTGTGTGAGAAGAATTGATCATTGTCATTAATGGAAACAATATACTTGCAGATCTTTAATAATGTTACCTTTAAATATATATATATATATATATATATGTTGAACAATAAAAAATATAAAGAAATTAAAATCTTCAGATACACTGGGTTGTATATAAATATTCTTTCGTTTTTATTTTTGTTATGGGCTCTTACCCATAATAATAATGATGGACTATTCCATACTTAATAAATAAAGCGCCCCATATATGTAAATGGTGGTACTCGCTTGGAAAAATCTTGGCGATAGCTCGACTTGCATTAAGATAAATCGGTATCCGAGAAAAAATGGGAAAAAAAAAAAAAACAACCAAAAACATTAAACCGAGGAGAAAACAATCGTCCAGTTTTCAAGGAAATGTCTTTGGGAGTAAAAAACCAAAAAACGAGTAAAAGACAACTATATATATATATATATATATATATATATATATATATATATATAAAAAACAGACCACTTGATTTACCAATTACAATAATTTATTTTAAAATCCTTTTAAATTTCGGATCATCAGGTAACAATCCAACAACGAAATGAAAGGAAAAATGGGATTAGAAATTGATGGGCATTGTAATTTTTGAAAAATTAAACAGGGAGGGTGAAGGTATGCGGTTAAAGAGACAAGGTCAAAAGTATAGGAGGGTTAAATTTACATCTTATTTAAATAGATTTATAGAACCTCCTACCTATTTATATTTAACCTTGACCTATTTATATGGTTAAAGAAAACGGAAGTAATATTAAATTACAAAAATTACACTACCCATCAATTTCTAATCACATTTTTCCTCTCATTTCATTGTTGGAAGTGTTACCTGATGATCTAAGAAATTTTTAAAAGGATTTTGGTGAAATAAATTATTGTAATGGTACCTTTAAAGTGGTCTGTTTTCATTAAATATTAGCTCTGTTCTTCACATTGAGCTCTCAGGATTTCATTTGCCAAATTCTTCATAATTTTAATTATATATATATATATATATATATATATATATATATATATATATATATATATAATGGGTTATGTCCGAGTGGTTAGAAAGTTCACTTTCTGAGACCTGGTTTCAATCTCATCATGATCGATTTTCAGGGAATTTTTTAATGGATCGTGGTCGACTTTTGAAAGTGGCTGAAAACCCTTGACGGAACCCTTGCACAAAGCCACAAGTCATCGTGGGATTGAGCGTCATGGCCTTCTTCAAACTACTGATCACGCTAGGTAACACGCTTTCTGTCAGGAACTGTAAACAAGGTCTGCTAAGCATAGCGAAAATTTTTAATATGTAGCAAAAGAGGGCATCCATAATTCCAGTTATAGTTGGGGATCTCGGTTTGGATTGGAAAACGCTCCGATGGATTCCCTGAAGGGATTCCTGCCTTAAAGAAATACCAAAAATTGTACCCACAAGTACAGCACGCGCATTACGAAGTGCGTTATCTATATAAAATGGGTGCGACGATAGGTGTTCAAGAGAAGATGCTGTTACCACAGAACATTCACCTAGAAATTTCATTGCAGTAAGTGCTAGTAGTATAGTATAGTTGAAAGTATAAACCACAGGTGCGCTCTGTGGGTGTTGAGCAAACACAAATATGCCTAAGCGAGCGTCTACAATAGGGATTGTGTAGCCGCCCTAATAGACGGGTATCCTCGAATACGAGGCTGTCAGGCGTTTACTTGGTGTCACGTTCGTAATGTTCGTTGTAGTCTAGACTTTGAAATTGCAGATACTAGTAGTAACTCCTTCGACTAATCATAGTAATACTATTTTAGAGAAATACTATAGAGTATATTATAGAAAATCGCGATCACTTAGACGCCACGCTAATTCCCATAAAATACCTTTCCTTTACAATCATGTGGTTTACTTATTAGAAATGGAATCACCTGTGTTTGCTCACTGGTAATCTGTGTTCAAACTCCAGTGACACTTTATTCCTATCCAACGCAGTTGTTACGATGAGCTTTCCCCTTTGGTACCTCGATTTCACGAACGTGAGCGCGGTACTAGATTTGCAGTTAGGTCTCCTCATTTTCTAGTTGAAATTACTAAGTGAATGTTCTGTAGTAACAGCTTCCTCTCTCGCACATTTTACATAGATAACGTACTTTGTAATGTGTGAGCTGTACTTGTAAGTACAATTTTTGGTATGTCTGTAAGGCATGGACTATCAGGAATCGCTTCGATAAGACTATCAGAACCTTATCCAATCAATCCGAAGGGTCCAAATACAACTGGAATTATGGATGTCCTCTTGTGCTGCATATTAAAAATTTTCACTTCAAGGAGCTTTTATTTTGATTTTTTTTTTAATCTTCAAAGATACATTACAATCTGCAAGGCTACCATGTCAATAAGAAATTCTGTTTTTATGGTCTTTGATCACGATCTCTGGGCGATTAGTTTTGATTATTATCTCTGTGTGTATTGTTAAAAAAAAATAAAATTGAAACAAGTCATTTTCTGTAACCGGAAAGGATGATGTTCATACCAGTTACATTACAGTTTCCTCGAAAGAAAAAACAAATTGAATTTTCCGTTGCAGATATTGGCCAAAATCTGAATGCCGTGTTTTATATTCAGTGGGTGCCAATACCGTTCAACCTGATACAAAATGGTCAATTGTTTCGGATATTTATCTTGTTTTTAGAAACATTTTAAAACACAATTTTTTCAGTATGTTGCTTGGTAATTTCTACTTAGCAAACATTGGTCCTATGCCATAAGAGTAAGACCTTCGTCTTTAGCTTTTAACCCTGCAATACGCAACCAGGGAAGAGTACGGCGTTTGTCTAAATCAGCTCGTTTGATACGGTACAGTATTGACCATGAAGAGGCTTATCTAGTCATCGTTTTTGCATTTGCTACATTGCATTTGCTTATTATTATTATTATTGATCTCATCACCTCCCTCAATTACCCTCAGGAACTAATTTTTAACTCATTGCTTGGATAAATCATCCTTTAGCTTCTACGCAAATTACATTTCTTCTCAAGTGTTGTAAACAGACCTTAATGAAAAATACTCATTGGCTTCGTACGTTTTTTATTTTTATTTTTTTTAATTTTTATTTTTTTTTATTTTTATTTTTTTAAAGAAACACGGAAAAAAAAGTCAGAAGAAAGGGGAGAAAGAAAGAAGAGGATTTTATTAAAAGTGATGGAAGCGAGATGTGTTTTGATCGTAATTCTCAGCAGTTGATGGGGGTCTGCGGGGATGGTTGGAGAAGTTGAAGTATTTGGGAAGAAAAAAGAGTGTGTGGGGTGGGTGAGAAAAAAAAGAAAGAAAAGAAACAAGGAAAGTTAAATAAAAATAATATTGTGGATAGTGGTGGAGGGGACGAAGAAATGAAAGTGTGAATGAATGAATGAATGAATGAATGAAAGATGAGAAGAAAAGAGAAAGAAAAAAAAAAAGAACGAATGAGAGAAACCAAACAAATAAAGAAAGAAATAGAACAAGAAAGAAAGAAAGAAAATGGACGAAAGGATCTTCTTGAAAAAAAGAAAATATGGACTGAGAGAAAAGAAAAGAAAGAAAGAAAAAAGAAAGAGAAAGAAAAAAAAAGAAAGAAAGAAAGAAAGAAAGAAAGAAATATGGACGGAGATCAAATGTGAAAGAAAGCAATATGTCCTGAGATCAAGTGAGAAAGAAAGAAAGAAAGAAAAAAGAAAGAAAGAAAGAAAGAAAGAAAGAAATATGGACGGAGATCAAATGTGAAAGAAAGCAATATGTCCTGAGATCAAGTGAGAAAGAAAGAAAGAAAGAAAGAAAGAAAGAAAAGAAAGTAAAGGAAAGAAAGAAAATGAAAAAAAAATTTTTAAAAGAAAGAAAGAAATATGGACGGAGATCAAAAAGAAAAGAAAGAAAAAAGAAAAATGACCTGAGAAAATGAAAGTGAAAAGAAAAAAGAAAGAAAGAAAGAAAGAAAGAAAGAAAGAAATATGGACGGAGATCAAATGAAAAAGAAAAGCAATATGTCCTGAGATCAAGTGAGAAAAAAAGAAAGAAATAAAGAAATGGACAGATAAAAAAAATGTAAAAAAAAAGCAATATGTCCTGAGATCAAGTGAGAAAGAAAGAAAGAAAGAAAGAAAGAAAGAAAAAAAGAAAAAAAAGAAATATGGACGGAATCAAATGAAAAGAAAGAATGTGAGAAAAGAAAGAAAAAAGAAATATCAAAGAGAAAAAAAAAGAAAGAAGAAAAGAAAAGAAAGAAAAAAGAAAAAAAAGAAAGAAAGAAAGAAAAAGAAATATGGACGGAGATCAAATGTGAAAGAAAGAAAATGATTTGAATGAAGAAAAAAAAAAAAAAGAAAGAAAGAAAGAAAGAAAAACGGAGAAAGAAAAAAAGAAATATGGACGGAGAAAAAAAAAAAAAGAAAGAAAAGAAAGAAAGAAAATAAATAAAGAAAGATGAGATCAAATGGTGAAAGAGATGAAAAAAGAAAGAAAAAAGAAAGAAAGAAAGAAAGAAAAGAAAGAAAAATATGGACGAGGCAAAAAATGAAAGAAAAGCAATATGCACTGAGATCAAAAAGAAAGAAAGAAAGAAAGAAAGAAAAAAGAAAAGAAAGAAAGAAAGAAAGAAAAGAAAGAAAGAAAGAAAATGGAAAAAAGGAAAGAAAGAAAGAAAGAAAGAAAGAAAGAAAGAAAAAAAGAAAATGGAAGAGAAAAAATGAAAAGAAAGAAAGAAAAAAAGAAAGAAAGAAAGAAAAGAAAGAAAGAAAGAAAATAAGAAAGAAAGAAAGAAAGAAAGAAAGAAATATGGACGGAGATCAAATGTGAAAGAAAGAAAGAAATATCGTCCGGAATCTAATTTGAAAGAAAAGAATATGCCTGGAAAACAAGTAGGAAATAAAGAAAAGAAAAAGAAAAAATGAATGAAATGAAAAAAATAAATGTATTCAGTAAAGGAAAACCTTAAGTGGCTCTTGGGCCTGAATTTGATGAAGTAAGAAAAAACAAATCGAAAAATGAGAAAAAACAAAAGGAGAGTAAACATGGGAGAGGTATCTATTATGAAAAGACAAAAAAAAAAAAAGAAAACGTAAAAGAAAGTAAGGAGAATGAAAAGGACAAGGAAGAAAAATAGAGAAGAAGAAGAAGAAGAAAAAGAAGAAGTGAAAAAAAGAAGAATAAAAAAGGGTGAAAGAGAGGTTGAAAAAAGAAGAAGGAAATAAAAATAAAGTTTGACAAGAAGATGAAGAATAAAAGCGAAAATGTAGAAAGAGAGGAATGAAAGAAGAAGAGAAAAAAGACATAAAAGAAAAGAAGAAAAAGAATAAGAAAAAACAAATGAAGAAAAGGAATGAATAAAAAAAAAGAAAAAAAAATGGAAACTTAATGATTTGAAAGAAAATTCTTGAAGTATCCCAACAAAATTTAATGATTGTAAAGCTCTCTTGAGGAAAAGGAAAAGCAAAATAGCCGTGAAAAGAAAGTTGAATATTTAAACTAAAAAAATAAGTGAAAATAAAAAAGGAAAAGAGGTTATGAAAAAATGATTCCGAATTGGCATGGTTAAATGAATTTCATAAAGGAAATGTTTAAAAATCGCCTTCAATGTGTTTTTGTTTGTTTCATGAAAAGAAAGAAAACCAAATAGAATGAAAATTCTTTTTCGAAAATAAAAAAAGAAAAAAAAAAGGTCTTAATGAACCGTTTATTTTTCATGAAATTAAATAAAAAGGATGAATGAATGTTAACTAAATGAAAAGAAAAGAAGAGGAACTATCAATAATGAACTACTACAAAAGAAAGAAAAAATAATAAATTTTCAAAATAAATGCGAAAATAAAAATAAAATGATGTTTAAATTTAGAAAAATGTTGGAAAAGAAAGAAAAAAAGGAATGAATGAAAATAAAATAATAAAATAAAAGAAGGAAAAGGAGAAAAATATTGAAGAATTTAAATGAAAAGAAAAGAAAGAAAAAAGAAAAGATTCGAAGAAAATAAATGAAAAAAAAAAAAAAAACAAGGTGAATGTTGAAGAATTTAAAATGAAAATGGAAAAAAGAATGAATGAAAAAGGAAAACTGCCTAAAAGAAGAAAAGGAAATGAATAAAATTCTCACGGAAGAAGGAATTTGTCGATGAAAAGAAAAAAAAATGAATGAATGAAAAAAAATAAAGAAAAAAGAAGAAGAAAGGAGGATGAATGGAATGAAAAAGAAATTTGTCGATGAAAAGAAAGAAAAAAACATGAAATGAAAATAAATCGAAAAAAAAAAAAAAGTAGAGGATGAAAAATGGTGAAGAATTTGTCGATGAAAAAGATTGAAAGTTGGAATGAATGAAAATAAATTGAAAATAAAAAGATTGAAAAGGAAGGAAAGGATGAATGGTGAAGACCAAGTCGATGAAAAAAGAAAAAAAAATGAATGAATGAAAATAAATTCAAAAAAAAAGAAGGAAAGGAGGATGAATGGCATGAATGAATTTGTCGATGAAAAGAAAGAAAAAAAAATGAAAATGGCATGAAAATAAAAGAAAAAGGAAAGGAGGATCTGGTCGGGACTGAAAAAAAAATGGAAAAACGAAATGAATGAAGAAAAAATAAATAAAAACAATTTGAAAAAATAAAATTGAAGGAGTTTCCCTGAAGGATGAATGTCTTTGAAGAAATTTAAAAAAAAAAAAAAAAAAGAAAAAAAGAAAAATGAAGTGAAAAAAAAAATGTAGCAAGAATGAAGGAAAAAAAAAATTGTTGTTGTAATGAACTTTTGAAGAATTTGTTGATGAAATAAAAAAAAAGGAAATGAATGAAAATAAATGTGAAAAAAAAAAAAAAAAAAAAGGAGGATGAATGGTGAAGACACATTACGAAGGGAAAAAGAAAAAAAAAAAGAATTTTGAAAATAAATGAAAAAATAAAAAAAGGAAAGGAGGATGAATGGTGAAGAATTTGTCGATAAAAAGAAAAAGAAAAAGGTTGAATGAAAAAATAAATGCGAAAATAAAAGAAGGAAAAAGGATGAATGGTGAAAAGATGAAATGAAAAGAAAGAAAAAAGGAATGAATGAAAATAAAAGGAAAAATAAAAGAAGGAAAGAAAAGGGTGAAAAGGAAAAAAAAAGAAAAAATGAATGAATGAAAATAAATGAAAAAAAAAAAAAGAAGGAAAAAGAGGATGAGAAGAAAAAAAATTTGTCGAAAAAAAAGAAAAAAAATGAAGAAAATAAATGCGAAAAAAAAGAAGGAAAAAAGGAAAATGGTGAAGAAAAAAAGAATGAAAAGGAAATTGAATGAAGGAAAATAAATGCGAAAAAAAAAAGAAGAAAAAGGAGGATGAAAAAAAGAAATGAAAAGAAAAAAAAAATGAATGAAATGAAAATAAAGAAAATAAAAGAAAATAAAAAGAAAGTTTGAAAATAAAAAAAAGAAGAATCGAAAAAAAAGAAAAAGAAAGAAAAAAATGGAATGAATGAAAAATAAATGCGAAAAAGAAAAAAGAAAAAATAAAAAATCAAAAAAGCCATTTGTCGATGAAAAGAAAAAAAAAAAAAGAAGGAAAATGAAAAGAAAAATGCGAAAATAAAAGAAGAAAAAGGAGGATGAAAGGATGAAGAATTTGTCGAATGAAAAGAAAGAAAAAAGGAATGAAATGAAAAAAAAATGCGAAAAAAAAAAAAAGAAGGAAAGGAAAATGAATGAATGAAGATAAAAGAAACGAAGAAGAAAAAACTAAGAATGAAAATAAATGCGAAAATAAAAAGAAAAAAAAGGAGAAATGAATGGTGAAGAATTGAAGAAAAATGAAAGAAAAAAAAAAAGAAGGAATGAAAAAAAAAAAGAAAAATGAAAGAAAAAAAAAGAAGAAGGAAAATGTAAGAGAAGGATGAAAAAAATGAAAGAATGAAAAGGAAAATAAAAGAAAAAAAAAATGAAGAAAAAAAAGAAAATAAAGAAGAAAGAAGGAAATGAAAAATGAAATGAAAATAAAATGACGAAGAAGAAGGAAAAGAAAAGGATGATGGTGAAATTAGAATCGAAGGAAAGAAAGAAAAAAAGGAATGAAAAAAATAAATGAAAAAAAAAAGAAAAGAGGATGAATGGTGAAGAAAGGAATGAATGAATGAAAAAGAAAGAAAATGAATGAATGAAAATAAAAAAAAAAATGAAGGAAAGGAGGATGAAATGAAGAAAAAGAAGATGAAAAGAAAAAAAAAAAAGAAAAGAAATGAAAAATGAAGAAAAAAAAGAAGGAAAAGAAAGAAGGATGAATGGAGAAAATTTGAAATTGATGAAAAGAAAAGAAAAAAGAAGAATGAAAATAAATGAAAAAAAAAAAAGAAGGAAAGAAAGGATGAATGGTGAAGAAAAAAAGAATGAAGAAAAAAATGAAGGAAAAAAGAAAAAAAAAAAGAAGAATGAAAAGGAATAAAAGAAGGAGGAAAAAAAAAAATGAATGAATGAATTAATTTGTCGAAGAAAAAAAAAAAAAAAAAAAGAAAGAAAAATGCGAAAATAAAAGAAAGAAAAGGAGAAAGGAAGAATGGTGAGAAAAAGAAGAAGAAGGAAAAAGAAAAAAAAAAAAATGAAATGAAAAGAAAACGGGAAAAAGGAAAAAGAAAAGAAGGAATGAAGGAAATGAAGAATCGAAAAGGAAAAGAAAAAAAAAGGAATGAATGAAAAAAAATGCGAAAATAAAAGAAGGAAGGAGGATGAAAGAGGGAAGAAGAAAGTTTCGAATGAAAAGAAAAAAAAATGAAATGAAAGAAATGAATGAAAAAAGAGAAAGAAGGAAAAAGGAGGATGAATGAAAAGGAATGAAGAAGAAAGAAAAAGAATGAAAGAATGAATGAAAAAAAAATGAAAAGAAGAAAAAGAAAAAAAGAATGAAGGAAATGAAAAAGAATGAAAAAGAAGAAAAAGGAAGAAGGAAAAAAAAAAAGAAAGAAAAAGAAAGAAAGGGAAATGAAATGAATGAAGAATAGAAAGAAGAAAAAAAAGAAAAAATGAAATGAATGAAAATAAATTCGAAGAAAAAAAGGAAAGAAGGAAAAAACAAAAAAGAAGAAGAAGAATGAAGAAAAAGAAAAGGAAAAAAAAAAAAGAATTGAATGAAAATAAATGAAAAAAAAAAAAAGAAGGAAAAGGAATGAAGGAATGAAGAAAAAGAATGAAGAAAAAAAAAAAAAGAAGAAGGAATGAAAAAAAAGAAGAAAAAGAAAGAAGGAAAAGAAAGGAATGAAATGAATGAATGAAAAAGAAAGAAAAGAAGAAAAGAAAGAAAAAGAAATGAATGAAGAAAAAATGCGAAAAATCGAAGGAAAAGAAAAAGAAAGAATGAATGAATTGAAGAATTTGAAGAAAGAAAAGAAAGAAAAAATGAAATGAAAAGAAAGAGAAGAAGAAAAAAGAAAAAAAAAAGAAAGAATGAAAATGAAGAATTTGAATGAAAAGAAAGAAAAAAAAATGAAAAAAAATAAAGAAAAAAGAAAAGAAAAAAAATGAATGAAAGAGAAGAAAGAAAAAAGAAAAAAAAAGGAAAAAGAAAGAAATGAAAGGAAAAAGAAAAAGGAAGAATGAAAAAGAAAATGAATGAAAGAATTTGAAATGAAAAGAAAAAAAAAGAGAAAAATGAAGGAAAATGTAATGGGAATAAAAGCCAAGAAAAAAGGAATGAAGAAAAAGAAAGAAAGAAGAAGAAGAAAGAAAAAAAAAAAAGAATGAAAAAAAAATGAAAATAAATGAAAAATGAAGAAGAAAAAAAAGGAAGGATGAAAAGAAGAAGAAAAGGAGAAAAAAAAAAGAAAAAATGAAATGAATGAAAAAAAAGAAAAAAAAGAAGGAAGAAGAAAAGAGTTTGGAATGAATGAATGAAAAGAAGGAAACGAAGAAGAAAAAAAAAAAAAGAAAGAAGGAAAAAAGAATCGAAGAATGAAAGAATGAAAAAGGGATGAAAATGAAGAAAAAAAAAAAAGAAGAAAGAAGAATAAAAAATGAAAAAGGAAAAAAGAATGAAAAGAATGAATGTCGATGAAAAGAAGAAGGAAAAAAAAAAGAAAAAAAGAATGAAAGAAAAAAAAAAAAAAGGAAAGGAAAAGAAAAATGAAAGAAAAGAAAAAAAAAGTCAAATAAAAGAAGGAAAAATGAAAAAGGAATGAATGAAAAGAAAAGAAAAAAGAAGGAAAGAAGAAAAAAGAATGAAGGAAATGAATGAAGAAAAATAAAAAGAAAAGGAATGAAAGAAAAGAATTCAAAATAGAAGAAGGAAAAAGAAAAAGAATGAATGAAAAATAGAAATGAAAAGGAAAAAAAAGAAAAAAAAGAATGAAAAATGTAGAAAAAGGAAAGAAAGAAAATGAAAGAAAAAAAAAAAGAATGAAAAAAGAAAGAATGAAAAAGAAGAAAAAAATGAAAAAATGAAGAATGAAAAAATGAAGAAAAAAAGAAGAAAGGAAGAAAAGAAATTTGTGAAAAGAAAAATGAAAGAAAAGAAAAAAAATGAAAAGAATGAAAAAAAAAGGAAAAAGAAAAGAAGAAGGAAAAAAAAAAAGAAAGAAATGAGAAGAAGAAGAAAATGAAGAAAAAAATGAAGGAAAGAAGAATGAAGGAAAGAAAAAAAGGAATGAAGAAAAAGAAAGAAAAGGAAAATGAATGAAAAGAATTTAGAAAAGAATGAAAAAAAAAAAAAAAATGAATGAAGAAAATCAAAATAAGAATGAA